TTTTCAAAGTTGCAAGGTGTTTTTCGAAAATGTGCATTTTTGAGGAAAAGTGTCTATAACTTATTGGCACAAATTCTCTCAGATTTCATGAAAACTCTACCAATTTGAAATTGATTTTGAAGCACTGAAATCAGTTTTTATGAGTATATCTAATTTGAAAATGGAAAAATAACAGGTTCAAGGCCCTTTCTTTTGTACGAAAAGTGCAGCACATTCGTACACTTCGTGTGGTTTACACCTTATTTGAGCATTCTTTTGAAAAGTGCATTTCACACCAGTGTAGTTTATCTCCACCTGGTCTTGGGCAGGTGTGAATTACACTCGAATTAAATAATTAATAAAATCGCGATGAATGACTCGAAACACATATATGATTATATTTTTATCAGTTATAACACCTGTACTGGGAAATCAGGTAAATCAAATACCACATTTTAAAATTAACTCTGTTCACTTTTGCACTTTTCCTCATCAATCAAATTTTCTTTATTCGTTTGAAATTCGTCGGTGTAGCTGCACGAAATATCAGCTGATTCATAGTGAAGTGCATTTTACACGACACTGAAAAGCAGACGAAAGAACCTTCAATTTTTGAACTAGATATACTCATGGAGACTGATTTTAGTGCCTCAGAATCAATTTTCAATGCATTGATATATTGAAGGAAAATATTATTTGCACTCTTTTTTTCATCACAGTTTTATTCATATAATCATCATCATTATGATGATAACAATAAAAATATGTGTAGGTAAATGTTACAGAGTGTTTGGATAAGGTTGACCACTGTCTGTGAATATCCCAGACAGCACTGGATATTCATAGAATATTATCTAAATATGCTAAAATGGAGGAGTATATTCCGAATATTCATCGATTATTCCTAGAATATATACATGCCTCTGGAACATCTGAAAGGAATATTCCAAAGTGAAGAGTCGGACATGTTCAGGGAATATTCAGGTATGAATCTTCCAGGAACATTCCCAACTGAATATTCTCTGTTGTATATTCATGGAATATACCCAACTGAATATTCTGTGCGGTATATTCATGAAATATACCCAACTGAATATTGTGTGCGGTATATTCATGAAATATTCTCAACTGAATATTCTGTGGTGTATATTCATGAAATATTCCATGAATATTCCTATGTTTCCCAACACATGAATACCATTTATTATTTCAGAGATGTGAGTATCGAACATCAATTAGATGTAAGAGGATTTTGAAACAAAAAGTGTGTGTGACCCGATTTCGAACATTGCTCTCACAAGAACTTGATATGTATAACATTATTCAATTCGATTACTGGCCTAGTGGTCAAGGCGTTGTTCTGATAGTCTTGAGGTCACGAGTTCGATCCCTACTTGGGTTAATTTTTTTTAATTTAATTAATGTTTATTGGAATATTCCAGGAACATTCAACATAGAATATTCTTTTGGGTATATTCTATGATTATCTGAGGAATTCCCATTCGCATATTTAGAGAATATTCCACAGATATTCCGGATATTCCAGATTATTTCTAGAATATTCCAATATTCCGAAAGGAATATGATAGGGAGATTCATGGAATATCTGGTGCTGTCTGGGATCTTGGGTACCATTTCTTCTACAACTTTGAGTCCTTCATTTTTGTTACTATTATTAACATGTCTTTCAGTCTTCGACATTTCAAAGCAAACTAACTAAATTATCTACTGATATGTTACTTGTCAATCCTAATAGAATCAAACAAGGAGATATCCAGAGTTTGTAAACTCCAGATTTCTTCCTGATCCTGAAAAAAAACAAAATTTTGCAAAATGAAATTGAATTTCCGTGGGCTTGATGTTTATTCTGCATTCATGAACTTTCGGGCTTGAAATATTGCCGTCAAATGGACATTTATTGAATGTTCTCAGTATTGAACCATAGATTTCAACACCCTCTATGCAATAATACAAGAGCAGAGGTTATCTATGACAAGACATATGACAACTCAAAATTGTAAGGAATCCAAGATACAAAAATCCTGTATATTATCTGGTTGGTAATGAATACTTGAAGATATAATACCTAATGGATAATTTCTCGATAATGTTAAGCTCTTGAGGCTTTCAGAAAATTATTATAAAATCATCAGTATTTTTTAATAAATAATAAATTTTTGATGTGCCAGTATATTTTCATTAGATCCCCTCCCCTGCCTGGTAAAAATTCGAAATATAAATATTCTTCTCTTTTATAGCATATTTGAAGAATATTCTAGGAATATATTCAGTGCTGTCTGAGGAAGCCATAACTATAATAACTATTCCTATAGTATATTCTCAAAATATGCTAAAAATCTGAATATCCCCCAAATATTCTTCGAATGTATGTCTCGCTGGATCATTCAGGGAATATTTCAATGTGAATATTCCAGTAATAATCCAAGAAAATGTACGAGGAACATATTCCAGCGGGAAAATATTCTCAGAACATTTTAGTTAAATTGTTTGGGGAATATTCCATCAATATCCTTTTATGCATATTCCTGGATTATCCCTAGGATATTGCGAATATCATCTGAATATTCCTAGAATATATTCTAGACATCCATAGAAAATTCTCGTGGACATCTATCAATATGTGTGAAATTTCCATCGGCATATATTCTGATGAATAATACTCCACTGATATTCTAGAATATCCCACATTATTTCGAGAATATTTCAGAAGGGATCGAGGGGGAAACAACTACTCAAAATGTATTCACCATAAGTTTAAATATCTGATGGTAATTAAAAAGTACTTAAAATACTTAAAACTGGTACAAGGTACTCTTAACAGGTACTTGAATACTGAAGTACTGAGAACGAGACTTAAAATCTTATTAAATTGTACTTGATGTATTAAAAATTATACTTAGAGTACTTGAAATTCCATGTGGTTTCTCCCTCGGAAGGAATAATATGAGGGAGAATCATGGAATATCTGGGTGCTGTTTGAGTCAGGGATGGATGCTAATTTGGACATGAATGGTACTAAAGTAATGAAATTGTATGTACTAGTCGGTATACCCTAACACCACAAGTACTTCCTAGGGATTTTCCAGGGACGTCCCTTATTTTTTACAAGGACATCCCAGGGATATCCTTTGTTGGGACAGAGTACATACTAGGGACGTCCCAGGACATCCGCTGGCCGACAAAAAAGTCATCCGAGGGATGTCCTACTGGTACGTCCCTGGGATGTACAAAGTACGAAGAAAGGATACCCCTAGAACGTCCCATGGATATTCCAGGGGAATGCATCCCTTTGACACAAAAAAAATGAAGATCGAGTAGGGATTGAACCCAGCAACTTTTAGCTTATCAGGCACGCACCTTACTCCATGCATTGGCTACTATGTCTTCCGCAGATTTACGTACTAAATAGATTTATAGACAGGACTAAACTATACATCAGGAACCTGAATGAATACAACTTTGTTAGGATTTGGGTATAATTATTATCATTCTTGGGTGTTTGAAATAAATGAGGGGCATTATGCATTTATGATTTCTGTTTGTGAAAAATGGTCATACCAAGAAGTTTTGGGACGTTACTATATTCTTTTCATTACAATTATTTTCCGGAAGGAAAACAAACATTTTCTTTACTCTGATGTGAATGGATATCAAATATTCCAGGGACACGAATGAAATAACCTAGGGATGTAGCGGGTGGGATGTCCACTGGACATCCACTGCGGGACATTCCCTGGATGCCCCAATCATGTCCTTGTCCCGCGGGACTAAAAAGGGACGTACCTAGGACATCCCTGTGTTGTTAGGGGAGATATGAATACTGTACTGTTATCCTGGGATATCTAAATTACGTTGGTACACTTTGCGGTACACACGCTGCATTAAGAGCGCTCACACCGTCCAACCGCGACATGTTCACTGAAGACGAGTGTACCTAGGATATCCCATTTTTGTTAGACTTGGGACTTTTTTGAATTCAGACTACCTTTATCACAGAGTGTCACTATTGTTCGTCATTACATATTATATATATCTCCCTTATAGTTTTTTTGTGCACAGATATAAGAAATTTGAGCGATAAGACACTATTTTCAACTTCTCGATCAATCATAACTTCTTAAACAATTGTAACCTAGCTACCTGATGCAAAATAACTTATGAAAAATGGGACTGAATGGAAAAAAAATTAAAAAAAGTTCTGTCAGGTGTGGGGTTCGAACCCACGCTCCCTTTCGAGAACCAGAGCTTAAATCTGGCGCCTTAGACCGCTCGGCCAACCTGACGATGTAAAATTGTTATGACATAGGTAATGCAATCTCGCAACTTTCAACTATGTATTGATCGAGTAAGTAATCATGGTTGTCTACCTAGTAGTTACAAATCTCAAAATATTTGATCTGCATGTAGGTTTGTTAATCTGTGCCAAAATTGAGTTAGTTCAATGATGTCTGCAGATTAAACAGCTCAATTTGGGATATATTATTGTGTTCAATATTGTATTATGAATACATGGAATATAAATTATGTGTTGTGCAATATTTTGGCAGTATGTAGATTCAGCTGGACCGAAAATTGAAAAAAAAACTTAAAAAAACATGCGTTTTTTATTTTCTTTTATGATTTTGCGATTTTACAATAAAAACTACTGACTTCAACTTTGATAGAATGCAACTATTGTCTAGTAAAATCGATTTGAACATTAAATCAAGTAATTGAATAAATTATGTACCTACCAAATCAAAATGATGAATCTAATTATACAATTTTTCGTCTATAGTATTCCATTCATAATTATTATATGATGCAAAAAGTAAGGTAACCAATCATTTTATCTCAAACAGTTGTCTGTGAATAATGAAATATTATGTTCAGAGGGGCCTTCTTAGCAGATTTTACCTCCCTTACATCCAATTTTTGGACAATTACTGCACATGAACTTTTTTCATCTTTTTGCTTATGTATGCAAATTTCCTTCAAATACCATGGAAAAGGAAATAAAATTGCTCATCTATCAATTTATTTTTCAATTCTTCAAATTTCTTCATTAAATGTGGATGCTATCAAATAAACAACCATCCACAAAACCACACAGCAGTGTTTGACCTATTTTAATAGAAGTATCTGATATTACAAGACATCAACAAACAATATCAATTATTTCACAAAGGGAAAACTAAATTGTGAACAGCTTTCTAGTGGCTAGATGCTTGTGGGGAATCTGGTTCAACATAGTCCAGCTGTTCCTCCTTAGTATGGGGCCAGAAGGTGGGTTTGTTGAGTGGGTCCAAAGCATCTTCTGGGTAAGCATCACGGTAGTCCTCCATTGTCATTTGATCATAAGGAATGAGGCTGGCAATGTGTGCCAATTCCTTCTTGTACCTGCAAATTCAAAAATGTATTTTGTGTATGTTGAATTTCTCATCTTATCAATGGAAATCTTACTCAGCAATGCGTGCATTGGAATCTGTCTTGAACTTTTCAATGTCACTCTTGATCTCCTTTTCCTGAGCATCAATCAAAGAACTGACAGTGTCTGCTGGGAAAGGAATCTTCAAAGCGCTGTACTGTTTCTGGAATTCATCTACCATGCCAGCAATGGGCACTTTGGACTTGTAAAATGACCAGTCGATTGCTGGAGGCTGTTCAGGATTTGCCAATACACTGGAAAGAATAATATATGACAAAAATGTAAAATAGTGCAGAGATTACTCTTGAATACTCTTGGTATTGAAAGTTTACTATTTTGAATGTGAATATTGAAGGAAGGTCAACTAGATTATGTAAAACTCTTACCGTCTCAGGTAGCCATCCGATTTGGCTTTGAAGAGCAAGAATTGGGCCCTTTGGTGTTCTGGTACTCTTTCGCCAAGAGCGGACCAGTTGATGGCACTTTGAGTGATTCTTCTCGCAGCCATTTCTACTATTTCTAGACCCGTTCACTCGAAATAGTCGAAAATGGATTCTTCAGCTCCCGAATGTAGAAGTAATTTTTTTGGTTATATAATATTATAAAATATATGTGACAATGACAAATGACAACGACTTGCCCTAGTGACACCCAAAGTGACACCTATCAGTGATAAGGACGTTTTTATTGAGGTCTCTCGCAAGTAATGCAACTATTAGCATGCTGCTGTGCTGCTTATGATAAATAAGCCAACACACTAGTTAGAATTTTCGAGTAGTAAGCAGAGATCAGTTGATCTCTGGTCGTAGGTGGGGTAATCTGTGGCCGCTGAATGATGAGTGAACAAGACATTAACCTTGCACGAGCGGCACCAATGGAACAGCACGTTTTGATGATAGGAAAGAACAGCAAGAAAACGCACCTCTCTGTTTGAAACGGCAACCTTGTATTCAGTGCAACAACAAGGCAACACTGGAGTGGCAACAACAAGGCAACTTTGTCATTTTTCATTTTGCATTGATGTATAATGCAAGATGGCAGTCGGGAATTTCGGTGTCTAATGGTCCAATGTTTATTTGTTTTGAAGTCTTTTTAATTAATGTATGAAACATTCCTGGATTTCTGTTTGAACTTACCTTATGTGTAGTGGAATCTCCTTGACAGTATTAAGAATAGTGATATCGTGTTGTTTTGTTTTCATTCAGGTATGTATTAATTATTTTGTTGTTTTTCTTTTTAATCTTGACAGGCCATTGTTTGGCTAAATAGAGTGCTGGATTTGTGATAAAATATTGATATTTAATCGAACTTCTACATGATTGTGTTCTAATCAAACGATAGGTGAGTAATTGGGTATCTTTCTATATTTTCTGTTCTCTTGATCATGGTCCCTACTGGAGGTGGCTGGATCTATTCATGCATTTTTTTAGGCATATTTATTTCAAGAGTTCAACTACCTACCTTAACTCACGACCTAGCCAACACCTAGCCCAAATATATCTGGATACAAGTTTAATGTTGAGTTGAATTTATTCTTTTCAGTAAAATCTGTTGTTCCTTTGTCAAAATTTTAATTAAGGGTTCCAGGTGGATAAGTAGCTATAATACACCACATAATACCAAGTAATACTTTACATTACTATTGAGCAATTCAATTTAGTGGTGAAAGACAAAAGTACATTTTAATTAGGGTCTACCCAAGGGCCTACGGGCCTACATACCTAGTTATAAGAAATCGAGAAGGAATAGGAGACTGAAACTGATATTAGGTATTGAATCTGTATGGAATAGAGCTCCAAATAGAGTTTGGTATAAAAATGTACATGTTGTTTACCTGCTTCATATCCTTATTATAACTAGGTATAGGTATAAAATAATAATTATTCAATATCAAATTCTCCAGGTGAATATAATAGGTATCTTGCTCTTTACAGAGCTCATCACCCTAGCTTTCAGGTTTTAAGTAGGTAGGTACATACTGGGGTACATATCCAAGGGTATATATTTTCAAAATCATGTTATAGGTCATTGACCATAAAGTTGAATAATCGGAGAATATTGATCAGATAGCTGTCTATATTTGAATATACTTACCAAGTGAACATGACTTGCTGATTTTTTGTAGGTACCTACCTACACTGTGTTTTTATTGTAATAGCATCTATGTATGATAGCTCTGGGAACATTTTTTAGTCTAGTCCGAGGTCTGCTCATTATTCCTAATCAACTTACTCCAGACGTTCTAGAGACTAAATCCTAAAATACCTTGGAACCTTGATTTAATAGATTTTGAGAAGATCTTTTCATTTCTTCAGACTCATATTATCGCTCATATTATACTGAGGCTGAATTCTAACGAAATACTTTGTTTCAACCTTGATTGAACCGATTTTCATATTCCTACAGTTTCATATGTATACCTCTCGGTATACCTACAATGTGTGCGAATCTCGTTGCCACATCAACTCACAATGGAGCTCACAACAGTCACAACACACTCCTAATTTGGAACCCATTGCCCTCGCCATTGACGATTTTTTCATTATAAATTCCATAGTACTCAATTTTTGTCTAGATTTTTGTCAATTCAGGAATAGCTGAAATACCACCACACAAAGTTTTACCCGGTTTTACCACATTACCTCATATAAGGTGTAGACCAGGGGTGAACCACTATGTCCAATATGTGTACACTTGAGGTCCAATCCATAATTTAAGGCTCTTCATTAAACCTATTAGCGATTTTTTAGTTCATCATTTTCTGTAAAAAAAAATTCCAAATCCAACATGAACATGGCAAGCCAATAGCGAACCAAAAAAAGTTGAATCACGAAACTATAATTATATCATAATTTGACGCTAATTTGAGGCTAATTTGAGGCTCTAATCCTAGCCTAATACCGATTCTTTTGCACATTGTTTTTAAAAAAAATCATGAGTTTTGCTAGCTTAACCGTTAAGCTATAGCAGAACCAAATCTCAAATAGGCTCGCAAATAGGGGGAATATTTGAAAATTGAGTACACCATAATTTAAGGCTATTCTGAGGTTCTTTACCATCGATTTTTTTGTTACACAGTATGTGCATAAAATTTCCCAAATCCATTACAAAAGTAACTACTTATACTTACCACATTTTGAAGCTAATTCGAGGATTAATCGGTCGAACTTGCAAAACCCATGATTTTTTTTAAACAATGTGCGAAAAAATTGGCAATACGCTAGGATTAGAGCCTCAAATTAGCCTTGAATTATGGCATAATTAGTTATGTGATTGAACTTTTATTTACGAAGTGGTTCTGCTAGCAGAACTCACGTTTTTTTGCATGAATCGAAGAGCAATAAATTCAGCAATAGGGCAATGAATTAGCCTTAAATTAGCCTAAAATAATGACCCAAGAAAAAATTTAAAAATCCAAAGTGGTTCTGCTAGCTTAATGGAGGTATGTTCGATCTCCTGGTAGATCCAGAGGAAAGATGACCGTCGACCTGAATAAAACATGAATTATTGATCAATTTTCCTTTATTCTCGTCTTTATTATTCGAAAATGTCTTTGTAATTGTTCTAGATAATGGAAGTATAATAGCAGAAACGACCAATGAAATTCATAAATCAAATTTACAGGCACTTTCGAAAACTAATCTAATGGCTGACTCGGATATTTATTGTGATCAGAAATGTCAACTAATTTGCGTAGAAATGCACAGTCCTCGAAGGGGCCATATGGCACAAATGTTTTAATGTTTTTCAAATCTCACAATAAGCTGAGCAGTAATACCATAAGCTCCATATCGCGTGGTATGGTAATAACCATATAATATATGGCCACGTTTATACCGTATGGATAGTTGGTATGCTTACCAAGGAGATCTAACTAAATTCAAACCAAATGCCGTAGTTTACGCATGTTTTCACCATGTATCTTCAGTTAGGTTGTGGAACTCCACTTGAATTCGTGAATTCAGAATAAAACTTCGAATAAACCTTTTAGTAGGATACGAAATTAGCTGAAATTGAATAAAATATTATTATGAGAACTGCCATTTGCAGTCAAGTCAAGGCTATAAAAAAGTAGACCAAAATGTTTACACCTTGGTCATCATACTATTTTATTCTGGTACGCAACAACTTTCGGTACCAAATCAAGCTGGTAACTTTACCAAGTATAGAATTTATACCACACTGACCAAGAGTATTTAGTCAAAATATAGTCATCAGTCAGCTTACCAAGACGAGGTATAAACTTGATTCACTACGTCCCGAGCGAGGTCCGAGGTAGGTCTCCTTGAATCCTTGCCAATTTTTTTCATGAATGAGGAGTTCAAACCATGATCTAATAGTATACAGAGTGTTTCCGTAGTTGAAACGATAATCTCGGCGATAATCAAACATACTCTCAAAAAATTAAAATACCTAGAATACGTTAATTTCAAGGCAGAAATTCCCTCGGAAATTCCCAACAATTCATTGACGTTTTTCAATGTGTCCATGTTGATTAGTTGACGAACGACTATGAAGGAATTACCAATTGAGTCATTTCAAAATTACATTTTTCCTATGCTTTCGTAGGAATCAATTTACTTCATTTTAATAGCGCATGTTTTTATGTTTGATTCATTTGATAAAATGTTCAAATGTTCATATCATTTTGAAGGTAATCAATATCATTCAAAATCATTCTGTGCTGACAATTCAAAAGTATAGGTAAGTATTTTTCATTGATATATTTTATATTATTATAGTTCAAAAACAGAAAAACTACGTATATTATGTAAACTGTATACCGAGGTGTATACTTTTCGTCGAATTGGATTTTTAAGTTTGCTTATAGAATATTCATAAATCGTGAATCATTCTGAGGAGTGATTTACAGTTGAACTCGAACGTTTTCTTTTGACTATTTGGACCAGGAGTACCGGAAGTATCAATGACTTTTGAAATATTGTCAGTGTCTGATGTTTAATGTGCCAATGTGCCAATGGACTGGACACCAATGTACCAATATCACTTATACGTGTCTCGCTGGTTGCATGCAGTTGCATGTATTATTTTCTCAATTCCCATTCCTTTCGAATTATTTTGTAGGTTAGCAGGAATTGCAGGTATGTTAATGTAATTTCCGGAGTTCGTAGAAAAATCATAGTCTGTAACGCGTTTATAAACTCTTCTAGACACTCGTTTATTAAACATTTATTGTATCAGTATTTACCCATTTTTATTTATCGCTATACAGATGTTGGTATTTCCTTGGCTCATTTTACTTGTTATTTCAAGACAAAAAATGGAATTTACAAAAAAAAACAGTTTTTTTTCCTTTAATTACTAGAAAAACCTTGACTTGAATGATGATTCAAGGTATTCTTGGAACACCCTTTCTGTTATTATATTATGCATTAATCTTTTGACTTGGAAAAAGGAAATAATACCTCACGGATGTTTGGCAATAATTCACTAATGTATGATTATTTATGCGTAATCAATTCCGCAATATTTTTGTGTTTATAACCATATGTCATGAGAATTTTCAGGAAATAGCCAATAATGTTTGGA